CCTTTGTTGCCTAACAGAGGAGGGTGACAAGAGATAGTAATTCATCCCCTGATAGCCTAGGAATATGACTTGCCTGAGTGGAATAATATTATGGTTACGGACTTCTGAAAATTTCCAGTAATTACTGCCTTGGATTGTGACCAAGATGAAAACTGCCTGAGGACTGAAGTCAGTCATCTTGCAACACTATAAACAGTGGTCCTAAGCGAGGCCCTTTGAGCTCCCTGGCACAACAGCAAGCTGCATGAGCATCTCCCTGCAGGAGAGTTCTGCAATTCTTAAGCTGAAAGAGTTAGTCAATGGGACCTTCTGCCTTCAGAGTGGGAGTGGAACAGAGCTGGCAGATTTGGAAGTGTATGTTCCACAGGGAACAAGAGCTCTCAATCCCCATCTGTAAGAAGCTAGGAAAGGAAAGCCAACAGCATGGCTGAGTCAAGACCTGCTCGCCAAATGGAAGGGCAAGAAGGAAATACAAAGGCAGGGAAGCAGGAAGAGGTGTCCTGGAAAGAGCATGGAGATATTGCTCAGTTGTGACAGGATAGGGCTGGGAAGGCCAAAGTGTTGCCAAAGTCGCAAAGAAGAGGAAGGGCTTCTGTAGGCATGTGAGTCATAAGGGAAGGTCAAAGTGTAACTTTTCCCACAGTGAGCACGGCATCAATGATTGCAGTAGGTGAATAGTAGGATTGAGTGTACCCTCAGAGAATTTGCAAGGGACACCTCTTTGAGTGGTGCAGTTGCCATGTCCAAGGGACAAAATGCCATGCAGGAGGACATGGACAAGATCAAGAGGCCTCATTTGGATTTAAAGATGCTCAGCAAGGCCAAGTGTAAGGTCCTGCACTTGGATCAAGGCAAATCCCAGCTGAGAGATGAAGGGATTGAGGGTAATGGTGCTTGAAAATCTGGACATGAACCAGCAATGTGCACTTGCAGCCCAGAAACCAGAAAGCCAACCACATCCAGGGCTGTATCCAGAACAGTGTAGCCAGCAGGTCAAGCGAGGTGATTCTGCCCCTCTGTCCTTCCATCTACACAGAGACTTCACCTCAGAGCACTGCATTCAGCTCTGGGATCCCCAGAACAGCAAAGATGTGGTTCTGTTGGACCATGCCCTGAGAAGGGCCACAAAGAAGATTCTGGGGGCTGCATCACCTCTCCTATGAACCTAGAGAGTTGGGATTGTCCAGCCTGGAGAACAGAAGGCTCCAGGAAGGCATTCAATACTTGCAGGACACTTGGAAGAAAGAAGGGGATAGACCTATCAGTAGGGCCTGCAGTTATAGGACAAGAGGGAATGGTTTTAAACTAGAGGAGGGTAGATTCAGGCAATGTAAATGGAAGAAGTCTTTTTCTATGAGGCTGCTGAGACATTGGAACAGGTTGCCGAGAGAAGCTATAATATTCCCAATCCCTGGGAGTATTTAAGGAGAGAATGGACTGGGCTCTGAGCATCCTGGTCTAGTTGAAGATGTCCTGGCTGATTGCAGAGCAGGTTGGGTTAGAGGATCTTTTAGAGGTGCCTTCCAACTCAAACCATTCTGTGATTTCTGCAGTGTCTTCAACTTAGAAGCTGGCAACAGCTGAAGAGATACAAGCCTGGAGCTGGGCAAGGCATACACTTTTAGGGGAGGAGAGGGAAAGTGGAAATAGTACTGGGTGCTTGGAGAAGAACTGTGCTGTACATTCAGCAGTAATGTAGAGTCAGAAGTCAAACAGAAAAGGGCAAGAAGTGTGTGCCTGTTTGCAAAACTCACCAATGATGCCAAAGAAGTCTTAATGCCAGCTAGTAGAAACAACCCACATTAACGTTCCCCCTTTCATATTGTTAATAAAATTGAGAATGTTTACCCTGTTGTCTTCAATCCTTTGTTTTCTTGCACTGTCAAGTTGTTACATCATCTACTACTCCTGTCTTCTTGCTGGTCCTGACCTGTACAGGGGCCTGATGGCATTGCAGTGTCTGGGCAGACGTGTTAGGAAAGCCTTGAACCTGAACCTGAACCAGAACCACAGCACTGGCTCCCTGTGTGTCACAAAGGGCATGCATGCTGGGGCTCCACACTGGTGGCACTTGTAACACAATGCTGTCAGTGTTTCCACAGAACAGCAGCTCTATTTACACTAGAGTGCCCTGCGTCTTCCCACATATGGGAATAAATTATTGAAAATATGAAAACAATTTACATTTAAAAGAAAGAAACTGTACAAGGGGAATTTAACAGCAATTTTCTGTCTCAAGATTATGGAGGTAATTGACAGAAATCATTAGGTCAGCTTTGAGTTAATTTTTTATTTCAAAATTCTGTCTTAAAAGTATGCCCAGTGTGAATAAACAAAAAGAAAAAGTGGTTTTAAGGTACTGCGTGGGGTTTTTTTTAATCAGAAAGCAAGTCGGCTTAAAAGACTCATGGAGTAATTCCTCTGGTATGTTTTGTTCCTACAGCTATTCTAAGAGGACAACCTGCACCCCACAGCCTAACAATACATTACTCAAAGTTGCACTATTGGCCAAAAAAGCTCAATCTTCTAACATGATTCTTGCATGCAAAAGACGAGGGAGGGAGCAGTGCTGCTGATTAGTATTGCAAAGTGTTTATCATTACCTTTCACACTGAGTAAAGTTTAAGCAGCTGTGTAGGTTCGTATGCATTTTATGTAAGCACCAAATATTAAACTATTAATCCATTGTGATCTTACTATAAGGTTTGGCCTTATTATTATTATGCTTGATTTGAGTCAGTCTGGAAGACTTTATCTATTGTAGATTTTATGCTTTTTTTCTTTTTTTTTTTTAAGTAACTTAATGCTCAAGGTGTGACAAAGAACTCTGAGTAAAACTGAATGCTGTGATGTAAGCATAAGAGTCGCTATACAAATTGACAAAATATTTTGGTAAAACTCAATTTTGGCCGCAAATATAAAAGCAATGAATGACTTCTATAGTCTAATTCCCATCTGACTTTAATAGCTCATTTATTTTCATTTTCTAAAATGTTCTGTTATCTAAGAGATTAAGAGATTACTTAGTAATTAATGAAATTATATAATTTTCTAGTATAGACCTGTGGAGCTTTTTGAATTCTCATTGTGTTGTCATGATCAGGACAACACCTTGTGTTAAAGCCAAAAATAGCTTGTAATCATTTAGTAGCAAGACACTAATGAGCTTTGCAGATGTCTCAAATAATTTTTCTCTTCAGCTAGCTATGGCTTAATCCATTCTTTTTTTTCCCAGTGTGATGTTCAATGCATAATTTTCTCCTCATACTACAAAGAATGTTTCCAAAAGGTTAAAGTAATGCTTTTTGCATCACAAAAGAGAACTTGCCAAGTTTTCTTTTCCTGATGTTAGATTGCTATCCAATCCCACCCTGAAATTTGATAAACTGACCAATAAATATTTTTCCCCAAAATCAAGATCATGTACTGTACTAGTTTGTATATTCTAATTTGTATGTGTGTTTCCTACTTGTGATGTACAGGATTTTTAGAGCCAAAGATCTAACATAAGGCCAAATAATTTTTAAAATTTCACTTCAAACCTTGTGCAATTCTATTGTAGTGTAATGTTACTAATGTAGTATAGCAGGATGTTTTAAGTGGGATAAAACTGCTCAAACTTTGTCTTGTTAGCAAAAGTTATCAGAGGTGGGTGGAGGAGGGGTGTCATGCTGCTTTCGGTGTTGAAGAATGCTGAGACCAGCCTGACTCAACTATTCAAAGTTAAACATCCTGAGGATGTGAAAAGCAGTATTTCCTGCCAGAAATTAGCACTGATGAAGATGTGGCAAAGTTCCTGAGAAAGGAACCCCCAAATGATAATGCTGATAACTTAAGTAAAGCTGCTAAGCTAAAGGCCACTGAGCTGACACAGGTGACCTAGAAACATCTGGCTGACAATCACTTTATATATGTGGTTTATTTACTCAGCTCAGTCCCACTTTTTGATGGACACACTTCTGACACATCCCTTCCCTTTCCAGAGTGTATGAAGATTTCTCCTTGAGTGGGAACTTCCCTCAAGGTTACTTCCCTATGATTTTTTTATGCCATTATCATAGAGTAATTTCTTAAAATACACATTTTTTGCATAGACCAGAATTTCTGTATCCCAACTGGTAAATTAGTGACTATAATGTAAGTAATATTGAAGGCTCTCTGAATTTGATTGACCATTACTAGAATAAAACTGCCCATTTCTTGCTATCTAATGTATTTACCTATTTGCAAACATTCAGGGGCTGTGTGTAGAGTAAGCAAATAAACCATTTTAGATTGAATCATTCACTTAATCTGAAGTACGAGTTAAAGGAAGTGAAGGCATGGGAGTTGCCATTCTCTTCAGTTGATGATTTCTCCATTTGAAAATACCCATCCAATAGTCACTCCTTCTCTAGGTTTATGTGCTTCTTTCAATGTGGAGTTGGAATGCGATTAAATTAATCCAGTTACAGTCAGCAAGGAAAGAAATATGGTCATCAGTGTATAGAAAATACACAATGCATGGAACGGAAGGCAGGTTAGTAGGTGAAATGCAGTATGAATGAGCAGCGTGAGGGGCTGGCAAGGCAAGCCAGGGGGCAGGATACATGGTCAAGGTATTTAAGAGATCTCGGTGTTAAAATATCCTGCCTTTCTTCGCATTCCCATATTAGGTCTGGATGTGGGAAGAGGAACTGAGGAGAACAAACAGATTTAATTTACAAGCTTACTGGAAATACAGACTTTCGGGCTGTTTTATGAGGGCGGCCTAGCTGCAAGGACACCACAATCTCACAACAATCTCACGACCCCTTACGCGCCGCCATCTCCTCGCCCTGCAGCCCAGCGCGACCCGTTGTCCCCCGGGCGCCCGTGGGCCGGCCCGGCCTCCCCCGAGAGCCGCAATGGTTCGTCCTGGGGCAGGGCAGGCGGGCGTTCAGCGCGCCGTTCGCTTCCGGGTTTGGGTGCGAGCGGGCGCTCTGTGGTTGCTCCTCCCCACCCGCACTCCGGCCCGGCGCGGGCGGGCGTTATGCGCAGGCTCGGCCCTTGCCTCAAGATGGCGGCGGTGGCGGATAAACAGAAGCACGAGCACGGGCGGGTGAAGATCGGGCACTACATCCTGGGGGACACGCTGGGCGTCGGCACCTTTGGGAAAGTCAAGGGTGAGCGGGGCCGCGGGGCGATCGGCGGCCCGTCAGCGGGGCCCCGGCGGCGGGAGCGCCGCTCGGAGCGGGGCTTGCGCGGGCTGAGGTGCCGGGGTGGGACTTGCGGTCCCGCGGCGGGGAGCTGAAAGAGCTTCCTCATCTGTGCTTGCGGAAATAACCGCTGGGAGCTGAATGCTGCGTTTGTTTAGAACAACACTGGGCATGTCACGGAAAGTAGGGAGTCTAAGTCATGGAGCTTCTTACATTGCATTTTGATGTTCAAGTACGAACTCTTGATGCCCTTGTAAGGAAGGCAAGATTTCTCTCTCTGCATAGAAATACGCGTAAAAAGATGGGTCCGGGATTGTTGCATCAGTTGATAACGCAGCTGATGTGCCGATACGGAAAAACCTCACGTTTAATCTGCTTGACCAGTGGTTAATAAAGTTGTTTTTTTTCAGCTCAGATATAAAAAATATTCCAGTGTAGGGCTATGGATGCCATACTGCTTATTTGAAGGCTAGTAGAAATAAGGTAGAAGTTAAACTTCTCCTTGGTGCCATTCACCACAAGTGGCAGGACTGTGCATTAGTTCACACTGTTCCTGCTGTGTTGTTTATGAGAACTTCAAATATTCGGGTAAGCAAGTAAAAAACCATCCTTTCTCAAATGAGCAGAGCTAGGCTCAGGTTGGGTGGGTTTTTTTGTTTTGTTGTGGTTTTTTTCTTTCTTTCTTTCTTTTTTTTTTTTTTTTTTTTTTTGTGGTTTAATAGGTGCATAATACAACCCAGCTTTTTTTCCCCAGTAGAGATTATATGCGCTCTGCACAAGCTCTTTTAACTATTCACATGTTCTGAAAATTACTAATGTATAGGAAATAGGATGATATTTTGCTCTAGGAAAGCAGTGAAGAATATTTGAGAGCAGAGTCCTTTGAGTCTCTTTTTCAAGGGAAGCTTGTAAAGAGACAGCCCCAGCCGTTTGGGAGCACTGCCCCCTCCCATCTGGCAGCTGGGATGCCATTCTTTTCTATGAGAACTTAGTACTTCCTTGAGTAGAGGAAAAAAAAAGTGATGCAGAAGACAAGCATTGAGCTCTTTCCTCATGGAAGGACTGCATAATTGAGGGGAGGGGTCAAAGGTGTGTTTGTTTTGTGTTTTTTTACCCAGGCACTGCAGAAGACTTAAAATTGGCATACCATCAGTGTTCTAGTACCACCCTAAAATTAGGAGAACACTTTTGCACTACTGCTTCTCTTGTTCCCATGCGGTGTTACTTTTATCTTGCTTCAGCTGTGCTTAATAAATAACATTTTATCTATGATGCACTGGTTTTCCTCTTGAGCACACATTTTCTTCATTTAATACCAGATCTGCAGCTTTCCTGTTTTCATCATTTCCTTCTCGAGTGATATGGTTTCATCAAATGTATTTTCATAAAGTGAAAAACATGTGTTCACCTCTTAAAATTCAATTAGGATTTACATTGGGCTTACGCAATGTAGGGGGGTCAGGCATATGGCTTTTTGAAACTGAATGTTTTATTCTAATAGTGGCAGCCTGAAAAAATCGAACTGGAAAATCAGTGCTTTATTTGGTAATTGTGAAAGGTCTCCTTCTCTCGCTGTCAGATGAATTCACACTGCTATTAGCTGCCACTGGTGTGATTCTCTCCAGTTTATCATTTTCACCGGGCTGTGCCACTCTGAATTAATTCTGAGTGGCTTGATTCACCTGACTGTGCCTCAGATGGGCAGTTGCAGAGATGGCTGTTCTTAGACAGCATCTAGGCAAAGCTAAAATGCCACTGAAGTGAAGAGCTGAGGTGGAAGAACACTGAATCTAAACCAATTGTATGAGACACATTCATGTTCAGACTTTACTATGATTCAGTGTAAAACATCTATCCCAATTTCCATCAATTTTTTTAAGCACTGCTGATGTTTTCTGCTGAAACTAGATGCAAACTTTGATTTCCAGATACATTTTTTTTTTAAGTTATCTTTCATAAAAGGAAGAGTACTCGGGCTTCCAGTGGTCCATATGAGAATATTACTTAAAGCTCTAAAAATACAATAATTGTTCTGGCTCTCCAGATCTATTGACACTCTTCTGTATGGACTGCAAACCAAGGCCATAAGAGACCTGGAAATGAACAGTGCAGATCAGAATGGTACCTAAGGTTGTGCAGAGAGGTGGCTTTGCACAGCATGAACTATTGTTGCTTAGGGCTTTTTCCCATGTTAGTGAAAACCTTTGTTTATCTTATACTCTTAAAAGACTGCTTCCCTCTGAGCTTTGGATTGGCTTTTTGGCCTGCTGCAGCTTGTTTGATTAAATACAACATGGCCTTCAGATTTTTTTTCCCCCAAAAAACTTAGCGATTGATATCTATATTTCGTTTCATGACTGTGTTGCATTTGGTCTGCATGGCCTCATAAACAGGTTTTTTTCCAATTGAAGATTTAAACAAGATAGAGACTCTACCTCCTGAACTTCTACAGTTAAAAATGTCGCTCCTGCTTTGAGACTCTGTCACTGTCGTGAAAATCTTGGTGCTGTGCAAAGCCACAGTGAAGCCTGAAGGCAATTAGTATTATCAGGAAAAAAAAAAAAAAAGAAATATAGGACTATACTAAGTCTGTTAAATGATTTTTTTTTCCCCAGAGATTATTTTGAAGGACTGATAGCTAGTTGAGGATTAGGGTGCGTTCCCTTTTATAGGTAAAACTTCCATCAAGTGGTAATGCAAAGTAGCTTTCAGGAAGGTAACACTGGCTGCTTACCTTTCTACATGATGTTATCACCTGGGGTGACACTTTCACTTCTGTCCTAATGTTGAATTCAAAAGTGTCGGCAGTCTGTTTCCAGCTGGTATCTGCTGTTTTACTGGTAACAGATACCTTGAACTGTATCCAGGAAAGGCTACTTGTATCTTAAAAGGCTAGATTTGTTATAATTTCAAATTGAATTAAAGGAAGGCAAGCCTTACTGAAGAAAATAGAGATTTAATTTGAAATATCTTAAGCTAAAGAATAGGCTTTTTGGGATCTTTTTGCATCGGAACCATAGTACGTTTTCATTAAAATGATTTATTCAGAGCTGTAGAGTTGAAGAAGCAGAAAATCTTGTTTTTTCCCAGTCAGTGAATAAAATTAAGGCTTGAGGCGCACAGTGTTGAAGGCTGTGACTGCTAGAATTGGTTTCAGTCAACTGCAAATGTTACTGTTTAATTACTTTGAAAGAAAAACTTGTTCTGAAAAGCTCTTTTCTTATGTGTCTTGCATATTGAACATGGAAAGTAATTCATTAGCTACAATCTAATGTTTTTCTGAGCGCCCATGGAATTCCAGTCTATGGTAGACTGACAAATCAGAAATTAAACAAAGCAGCTTAAAGATGAGATTTTATAACCCAGTGCATATCAGAACTGTGTATTTATATTCTAAGCTGTAGAGTTGGTCAAATATATATGTTATTTACTCTGTTAAACACCTTCTTAAATGTACTTTGTACAGCAAAAGAAAATACAGATTCATGTGTTTGACCAAAAGAGTTTTGCTTGGTTTGGAAGAAGTTGTTTCTTACTAACAAAAAAGTGTTACATTTTAACTTACTGATTAAAGTTCGGTTTTGTTTTTTTTTTTTGTTTTTTCAAATACTCCTGGTATACATCACTTCCCTTTATGGATGGGCAAAGACTTTACGATTAGAATAGTTGCTTTTCTAATTTTAATCATTTTTTATGATGATTCTTTTTTTCCTGAGGGTTTGAACACAGATGCTTAAAACTTCTGTCACTTTTGAAGAAAATAAAGGGAATGTGATTGCTTTAATTGTAGGTCTGGTTCAAAGCAAATAATTCTCATACATTTCTAGGCACTCACCTGTAACTGCTTTGTGGTCTTTCTAGAACTTGCTATGGATCCGAGCTTTGTCCTGCATTCCTCAGTAGTGCAAATATGCCAGCCTAGCACTTTGTTTATTGTGGCCATTGTTAGGTAATGGCCCCTCTTGAATGTGGGCATGTCTTTTCATCCTAGTCAGAGCTCTTCTGTGTTTTCAGGTACTAGACGTATCTCAGCGCAGCATTGTGATGGTTTCCAGGTCTTGGGTAATCCACTGTTTGGTTCCCTATAGGAATTCAGACTGCTTAATTTTATAGGTGAATGTCTGCTTGTAAAATAAGCATGCAGATGCTTATTCTCTTCAGTCTCTCTGCTAAGAACTTCTCACTTGCATTAGTTTTTAGCTCAATATAGAGGCAAAAAGCAGCAGGAAGGTCTTTTGTGCTGGAATGAGATTTACAGATTGATGGGTGTTTGTTTATTCTATCCAGAATATCTGTTGTACACAGAAGGATTTTTATGGATCACTTCTGTTTAATCACAGCTTCTCATGGATATATTTAAACGAAACTTGAAGCCCAGGGCCTATTTAAATTCTCTAGTGAGGGTTGGCACTCAAATGAGTGAGTATTGTGTTCAGCACTGTTACAAATGCCTATTCACATAGACAAGGATGAGCCATGTGGGTGTCTGGACAATCTGGCTTATCTTTGGAAGGTAGGAACGAGGGTGGCAAATGAATGGTATTATTATAATCACTGCATCTGACAGCCATGCAGATAGGGAAGCCTTCTAGTAAAAGAAATACTCAGCTTCTTGGTGTTCCGTCTTTGATTGCGTTTTGGGTTTAAGAAAAATGTTCTGATGGACTTTGCTGTGACTACTCCCAATAGCACTTGCAAAGTTAAGGACTTCTAAGAAAGGTAACTGACTGTGAAATATTTACACTTTTTAGTACCTCTGTTTAAAGAACAGTGCAACTATCCTTAGTTTCATCTCCACTTCTAGGAATGCATTAGGTTGCATTTTTGTGTTGTTTTTCGTTATTTCTGTTTTATTTTTTGTGCATTTCTTGTTGCATTTGCCACTTATTTAAATAGAATAAAGCTCTGGTGTTATATGTGTAGTCTATGGAGCTGTCACACTGCTCCAAGGACATACATTTTTATAAGTAAACTGATCAGGTACTTATGTTGGTAATTCAAAGCAATTACTGAAGCAGGCTTCTTGAGGGAGCAATAGGAGTGATCCTTGCAGATGAAGTAGAAGAGATACAGGAAAACATGTTTGAGTGGGTTGCCAAGTAAGCCAAAAGCTTGGAGTGACTTGCACAGGGAGAGAAAATACTCTCTGTAATTACAAGGATTGCAAGGTTTGGGGATATGCTTTGCTGCTTTAAAAAAATTTTTTTTAAACCAATATTGCAAAAAAATATTGTGCTGCAAGACTTCTGCTGGTTTGGTTTAAGGAATTTCTTACGTACATACATCTTTTAATTATAGAATTGTGGGAGAAATTGGAGTAGGGCTGAAGAAATTCCATACCCATCTGGTTTTCAGCTTCCTCAGAGATAATGGGGATGTGTGGAATGCTAGTGTCTTAACTTGGCTACATTCAAAAAGGAGAAATAATGTCTTAACTGAGCAATATAAAACCTTGACTAAATACTTCCTTGTTTCTTGCAGTTGGAAAACATGAGTTAACTGGGCATAAAGTTGCTGTGAAGATCCTGAATCGACAGAAGATTCGCAGCCTTGATGTTGTAGGCAAAATCCGCAGGGAGATTCAGAACCTCAAGCTCTTCAGGCATCCTCATATAATTAAGCTGTAAGTTTTGCTTACTGTAATCAAGCTTACTTAGCCAGTAAACTCTTTTTGGTCTCACAGATCTGAAATGCATTTAAAGGGCAACAGTACAAATGGTATCTTGTCAGAAGAGTAACCAGCTTCAAAGTGTGCAACTGTGCCCTCTGTGATGTGTTTTTACAAAGCTGATCTTTCCTGCAGGCTGGAGAATTTCCATTAGATCTTTGCTTAGAAATTCTTTGGACAGGTGTATGAGGGGTAATGTCATGACAGGTATTTCTAGTAACAGTCATCTCTGAGTTTAGTGGCTGCTTAATTTTTCTTTTTCTGTTTATGTTTGACTTCTTTTTTTTCCTGCTTGGAAAATGAGTTACTAAGAACAAGAGTGTAAAAACCATTTCTATAGTCATTGCATCTTCTCAAAATGTTTTTAGTGATGTGCTGGTCAGTGATACATGTTTTTTCAGTGTAGGTGGTGCTCTGCAAGATTTTTCTGAATTAAGGATGTTTGATAAATGTAATTGCTGTTTCAGAAATCTTCAGTGTAGTGGCTACCCTTTGTCTAAATGTGGTATTTAAAATGTGCCAGGTTACATCTCGTAGTTGATCAATAGTTCATCAGTGGATTTTGGAGTGCAACTGTGTCCCAGAGTAGACCCTTCATGTCTTGTCTGTGGTAATAAATTACAAGTAATGTTGATTTTCTTTGACTCTAATTTCCTGTTAAGATAATCTGCATTTTCAGAGTATGAGTGACTTCCACTGTCTTAGTCATCATGTGGGTGTTTTTTTTTTTTTTTTTATTGGTAGAATCTTGTCTAAAGACACCACTGCCACTGGCAGATCCCATGTCTCTGCACTCCCTTTAATTCAGCAACAGCCGTGACACTGAAGCTAAATTACATTATGTAAGGTCAACTCACCCACTTCTTCAGTGGGCTAGTTTTCAGAAGACTGTTGAGCTGATTTGTCAGCAAAATTGCTAGTGCTTTCAGTTAATCTGTGAATGAGTCCAAAGGGCATACCTATAGCCATAACAGGATAGGAGTGTCAGTGCACCTAGTGACATACCAGGATGAAAGAGGAATGGGTGCTTGTAGTGTTGCTAAACTGAAGACGGTTTAGCAGATTTCAGATGACAGCTTCTTTCTCAGGGAATCACAGTGAAAATTTTTCCTTTTGCATGTGGATTGTTCCTAAAGGGAACACATTAAACAATTTTTAGGTAAGGAGAGGTAGGAAAATCAAAACCTCTTAAATTCTGATTTTGTCCTTAAACTTGTTATTTCAAAGTTACGTTTTTAAATTATAATTAAAGTAGAATGATAAAATATAATAACCAGAGATCAATACTCTTAAATACTAATATTGATCATTATTAAGATGAATTTTTTCATAGTCTCGAAGTATACTTTTTCATTTATGGCAAGTGAATTTTTTGCATGTTAGTGTTGAAAAGTGTGTATTTTTGCAATCCTAGCAAAGTCCTTTTTTACTGCATCAAGCTGTTGCTGAGGCAGCACTATAAACAGTCTTATAGAAATCACTTGTACCTCTGAAAGAACAAGGACTGCTGTTCCTGTTAGGCATTACAAATTTCCTGAAACTCTTTGCAATGGTGGTATCATACAATGAAAGTAGAGTAAAAATCTTCTGAAACATATTGTCATTCCAGTAGCTGTAGATTGATTAATAAGTATTTTACAGTATATTTTTTTCTGATTATTTGTACAACTTTGGTTTTGACTAAATGTGACTAGTGTTTTGCTGAGTGTGTAGACTAATAGATACCTTCTCTTATCAGGTACCAAGTCATCAGTACACCCACTGACATTTTCATGGTGATGGAATATGTTTCAGGAGGAGAACTGTTTGATTATATCTGTAAAAATGGAAGGGTAAGATGTAGTCCAGCTCTGCAAATGAGTGACTTGCATTCTGTTATTGCATTTGCAACATTCCTGTGTCACCCTACACTGATGAGACAGATTTCTGGGTATCTTTTGTCAGAATGATACAATTAAAAGTTTTATCGAAAGAATACTATGATTAGTGTAGCACAGGATTTATGATTAGAGTGTCACAGGATTTTTATGAGCAGAATGAATGTACTGTAATGCATAAATAGTGTAGTACAGAATTTTTACACAACCTAACTTGGGATATCTATTCATCTAGACCTTCTGCACATCTGGTCAAATCTTAATATATATTTGCTGTATATAACAACCATAGGCCAGTCTTGAAAATCATAGTGATGAACACAAGTCACTTAGTCCTCAGAGGAAGCAGAGGATGGTGGAGGTGTCTGTGGCCACCGAGAAGTCTTTGGTTTCATTCCCATTTAGCACTGGTAACTGTTTGATGTTAAAGACACTGCTCTGGCTGCTGTTCCAGCTCCATATGCCATGACAGAGTCATCATCCGTGTCTCTGTGTCTGAGAACTAAAGGCTGGTAAGGAAGCAGATAATCAGCCTGGCACCCAGGAATCTTGAGGCTGGTAGGAAGGGGAAGAAGAAAACTGGTTTGTCTATTTGCTTCACTGGACCTTCAGGGCCTGATATAATGAGGAAAGGGCATGAACACATGACTTGCATGGTCACAGAATGGCTGAGAGGCTGAGAGCAAGGGGTACTGTTAAATGTGGATGTATTTTCTTGTATTCAGTTTTAATTTTGCTGCTATTAATTAGAATGCATTTTATGACTGTGGGGTTTTTTTTCTGGTACGAATGGTTATATGTTAACACATTTCAAATCTTGATGTGTGACTTCATCATAGCATTCTTCCTTTCTTCTAATCTGTTAATTTACAATGGCTGGGAATAAACCAGATGAATATGTACCCAGTTGGAGTAACTGAAAACTGTTTCTTCAGTATATCCCCTTGTTGGAAAGCTACCATTGTGCCCTTTTCACTGTCTTCTGTTAGAACAGCTTGTATGAAAGATGTGAAGTCACTTTTTATAGAATGTTAAGATATATAGGATACTTCAGTTGCTGGGACAAACTGATGTGTGTTATGGGTCTTTGTAGGAAATGCTCACCTAAGTCTGCTGTTTGGGACTAGCTGCTGATAGCATAAATAGCATCTGAAATTTATAATATCTGTGCTGCATTTCAGCAGTTTTTGCCACCTTAAATCTTGTGCTGTGCTTAAACATCAAAGTTTGTTGATAATTCCAGACAGACAAAGTTAAATGTTTGAGAGCTAATGTTTCTAGTTAATGAGTATGTAACATCTGCCAAACCCAATTTCAAAAGTGTGATTAAGAGCCTTCAGTGACTTTCTGACTAAGTAGATATGTTTTGTTTGCATCACTTCAGAGCTGTGGTACAAACAAAATGATATAAAATATGAAGCTACTTGCTACAAGTTCTGATAATCTGCTGTATAAAGTATCAAATGATAAGTATAATAAGTTTAGGTCATGGGGAAGTTTCCACTGGCTAGTAAAAATGAAAAACAAGTTAGCTTACACTGTCTCTTAATTATTTAAAATCTTTGTCTGTTTTAGCTTGATGAGAAGGAAAGTAGACGTCTGTTTCAGCAAATCCTTTCTGGTGTGGATTACTGTCACAGGCACATGGTAGTACATAGAGATCTGAAGCCTGAGAATGTGCTTCTTGATGCACACATGAATGCCAAGATAGCTGACTTTGGTAAGCATTGCTTTATTTTTCTATTTAATTACATTTCTGATGTTAGATCCTGTTAATAACAATAGGAAATATTAAATGAAGTATGTATAGTTTAATATCCTGGTGGTGGGATACAACAGAAGAACATGAAGAAAATAGATATAAAGTAATGTTTTTGCACATTTATTGAACTTGTTTTCATCTTAAGCTTTCTTGCTTTCTTTTGAGGTGTTTTCTGTGACTGGCTGAAATTGTGAACTGATTAATTTGGTTTCACTTAACAATATTTTCTGTAAAATGCTAAGTAGACTTAGTTTCTGACCTTTCTTCTTCAAAACTCACTCCTTGTCTGTTTCACCATTTGTAAAATGTAGATGCTTAGCTCTCTTGGAAGAACAGTGCAGGGGCAATTCATCATCATTAAGAAGCTACAGTGCTATACAAAATACACTAGTCCTCCTGAATTGTTTATGCCCGCTGTTCATGACACAGCTGCAGAGAAGCCTTGAAGCTAGTTTGTGGAACCATCTGAGTCAGGAAACCTCACCAGATAAGCATAGTAAGGTATCCATACTGCTGTGTCATGACAGTTCTCTTGTAGACATAGTGGATAATAACTGCTTATGTAAGTCTCCAGTGAAAGATGCTAGGTAATGCTGAGTATTTTAAGTATGCTTTGAAAGTATGATGTTCAGCTGTGTGGGAATCATATTGGTTTCCCATGTGAAGAAAATTATTTGGGTGAAATGGCTCACATGGTGAAGAAATAAGGTACAGTAACTTAGCATCAGCAAAAACATAGCACTCAGTTACATGAGTGGTGTATTAAACAAGAGCTTAATAAAAGCTTTTGTATGTTAGAATATGAAAGCTAGCCAAGCTGTACTATTTACTCTCCACATTTCCTGCTGACCCATAAAAGGGCATAATTCCTTCTTGGAGACTGAGGTATTTGGCTTATGGTAGTCTTGATCATGCAGCCTCACTGAGGAAACAAGAAGAAATTTTCTAAAACTAGACTATACTGGGTGCTGGTAAATGCAGGCGGCCTAGTTCTAAAGCACACTTCTGTTGCTTACAGAATATCTGAAAAGCAAACTACTAAACTGCTGTGATGCAGGAATTAGGTACATAGTGTAGGGGTGTAAATTGTGGTAAAGTTATATTTGCTCTTCAGTTGCCTTCTTCTGTGTAAGCTCTTAACAGAATTTTAGGGAATTCTGTGGTAGCATTTCCCACTTTGGCATTTTAGAAGCAAATGAGATTTTTAGTACTTTCTTGTTAATGACCAAAATCCTATCTTGCTATATTGCTTCATTGCCCTTAGAGCAACTTTGTCATACCTGTGTCATCCAAATTTATCTAGTGCTAGTTTAAGAATGAATATGTTTTCAAATGTCTCTAGGCTGTGGACAGTAATGTATTGATGTTACTCAGATTTCTGCTAAAATATATGGAGGATATGTGGCATGCTCATATATAAAGTCCATAATTCCAAACAATATTATTTCTTAACTGCAATAAATTTGTTAATTTTCTAATTTGAATCACTAGTGGTTTGTTCTAGGTGGTATATACAGTGTGAAATAATTTTGCTCCCTGAATTTTTAGTAGTTACTCTTATACACTTTCAGGTCTATCAAATATGATGTCAGATGGAGAATTTTTAAGAACAAGCTGTGGTTCCCCTAACTATGCTGCACCAGAAGTAATTTCTGGAAGGTAGTTTCTTTTATATTGGATACATGTATGCATGTACTTCAGTCATGTTGCTGCTTGATTCTAAGGGGTACAAAACTAATTCAGTTGATAAGCTTGATGGTGAGAAACTGAGGGCTGTTAGTTGTATTGATAATTTTTAAAATGTTTAAAACTTCTGTGAACTAGCTTTGAATAGTTCCTGTAAGGTAGAGGTGATGTCTACTGCCCCAAAACCATTGTGTACACTCTGCCTAAATTGGTTTAAAAATCTCATGTACAGCTCAGATCTTGGAAGCTGAGGTGCAGAGTTACAGGCAGAGTCTGGTGTGAAGTTGAGTAGCAGTGAAATGTCTGCTGCAGAGTAGATACTCATTTTGGTGGTAACTTCCCTTTTGTAAACTATGCTTGTCAAGTCTGCTTTCAGCTACCTACCCTAATGTTGCCTCTTGCTGATTGGAGGCCAGATGTCTGTTTTACTCTGGCAGTGGCACAGTACACGTTCTCCTATATGGACTTGTCTTAAAATTTTGAGCCATAACTTGGGGGATAGCTGACTTTGCACAGATTCCTCTAAAACACCAATAACCATATATAACGTGGGCTTTCTTAGTAGTAGATGCATGTTTCTTTCAGTTTGCCATTGTGTGAAACTGCGCTGTGGATTGTTGTTACACATTAGAGAGGAAAAACTGTACTTGTGCCTTGTTATGTATTAGAAAGGGAAGAGTATTGAAATTCAAGGGAGGCGTGGCATAGAACTGAAATGGTGTAGTGCTTGCAAAATCAGTTGTCCTGAGTTCACGTGCTTTTAATTACTGTGATGCAATGAAAAAATTAGAGAAAACATATTTAAATGTATTAAACACAAGTCACTAATAGTTTTTTTTTTTGTCACAGGTTGTATGCAGGTCCAGAAGTAGATATTTGGAGCAGTGGGGTTATTCTCTATGCTTTATTATGTGGAACACTTCCATTTGATGATGATCACGTGCCAACCCTTTTTAAGAAGATATGTGATGGTATATTTTATACCCCTCAGTACCTGAATCCGTCTGTAATTAGTCTTTTGAAGCACATGCTGCAAGTGGATCCAATGAAGAGAGCAACAATCAGAGACATTAGGTAAAACATTTGCTGATGTCTGATCACAGGATGCTGGAATTACAGTAGTGCAAATATGCAGAACAAAGAAGTTATTCATACAGCTTGTCCTTGTTTTCTAGACTGAGATGAAAAATTCAGCTTCTGATGGCTTGGTTTTATCTCTGTGCTGATCTGTAGTGCACAATGAAGTATCTATTGGAGATCATAGTAAAACAAATAATTTATATTATATATGGGAATTCTGAGATACTTTAGGTTTAAGACTGCTGTAGCAAAGCTGTGTACTTGCATAACGGTTTGCAAAAATTACACTATATAGACTTCTCCGGGGGAAGAAAATTGTCTTTGCTGTTAGGAACCACTGCTCTCTACTGTAAATGTCTGAGGAAGCTCTTAAATCTGATAACTACTGCTTTTATTCATATTTCTTCAGGCTCTGAAAAGTCGTTTGTTAAGACTGTGAGTATTCCATATGTAAGGCAACAATTTCTAGCTTCAAAGCACGGGCGTGAATTAGTGTATGAATGGTAATCCCTTCACCAAGTACTGATAAGTTAAAGTTTGTAGGTAGAGAGAGGCATCATGGACCCCAGATTCCAAGAGATGATTCTGGAGAAGTTGATATTGTTAACAAATGTGCACTGGATCAAATTTAAAAAAAGGTAGCTGAGAGAAATGTACTTTATGCAGCAGGTTAATTTTCTTGGTGAAAATGCTGCTCCTTTTAGGGTCAGAAGTTAGGAAATGAACAATGTCCCTTTTCTCAGTGAAACAAAAATGTGGCACACTTACCCCTTACTACTTTATTACAATGGGAAGTACTTCCTTTCAGAGGTGAAATCACTGTGAGAACTAAGTGTTGTAGAAGTTGAGTGGTTGGGAACTTACCTCAGTTGTGTTAAATAGTGTGTGGAAAAGAAGTGGTGGCAACATAGATGTTGAAAAATGTTGGTTACAGAACACGGATGGAACTTGAATCTGAAACAGCTCTGTCCTATTCATATGATGTATCAGCTCACAGTTTAAAGGACGAACTGAGTGTAACTGAATACCTAAATTCTTCTAGGGGTTGTATGTATATGCATGCAAGGGGAAAGGCCTGGTGCCACGAGCAGTAAAAATTTTCCTCTGGGTTCAGTCATCTCAGCTATGGCTAAGCCTTTGTTGTGGTATGGGAAAACATTTTTCTGCTTCCAAATTAACTGTTTTTCTGATTAAACTGTATTTTTCTCAGCACATTTGTGCTGAGGCACAGTGTTCTCAGGATCACACTGAGCAGAGCTTAGTGCAGTGTGCTAGTTTGGGCTGGAATAAATTCAAATTTTTTCACAGTCACTGTGTTTTGAATTTGTACTGATAATAGTCTTGATAACAGCTGGATGTCAGTTACTGCTGAGCGGGGCTTGCACAGAGCCAAAGTCTGTTCTGCTTCTTACACTGTCCGAACAGAGCAGCCTGGGGGTGCACGAAGAATTATGAGGGGACACTGCTGGAGCAGCTGACCCCAACTGACCACAGGCATATTCCAAACCATATGCCTGCAGTACCATACTTGCATGCAGGCACACTTGCATACTGTACTCTGCAGTAAAAATAAGAGGGAGGCTGATGGGGCTGATCTGCTGGTGATCAGACATTTTGTGATGAGCAGTTGTTTTTATCTGCATTACTTGTCTTTCTTGGGTTTCCTTGTCACCTCTCTTGTGATTTTGGATTTTCTTTTTCCCTTAGATTTTCTGAAAATAAATTTCTAATTGCTATGCTGTTTTTTGTTTTGTTTTTTTTTTTCTCAACCTGCAAGTTCTTTGCACTTCTATTCTTCTGATTCTGCCCTTCATCCCATTGGAGAGGACCAAGCAATTATTTGCAAGTAGCAAGGGTGGTGCTCAGTTGCTGGCTGGGGTTAAACCATAGCAGTCCTATTTGACACCCAATGTGGGGCTTGAAGGTGTTGAGATAATAACAGATTTTAGCAGACCATATTAGATAATTATAAGTTCTATCTGTATAATGGTTGTTGGTCAGAATATTCATTTTTCTGTTCTCAATATTGATTTATCTGATCTCTTCCATGTTCCATTTTTTTGCTGTACATGTTGAAGATTTAGGTTGTTTTTTGCAGTTTGCTGTGCTTTGTAGTGCTTCGTACTTTTTCCTTTCTTTTTTTTTTTTTTTTTTTTTTTTTGCTGTATTAGAACACTGGCCTTGAGCTTAAACTGCTATTTGGGTTCTGTACTAAGGTTGTTAATGTCCTTTGGGTACCATCTCAGGGAGACAATTAACAATTACATGTCTTTGTCAAAGATTTTTTTTCTGTGGAGCAAATACAGAAAGGCACCTTCGCTACATTCTTCTGTTTTGTCCCTCATTGCCATAACTTCTGTATCTTGAACATCCTTGGGCAGTCAAAATATTTCCACTGGTATTTCTTAGGAACATAGTTTCAGCTTTTTGGAAGATTAACAAGCTATTTTTGAACATCTCCCAGGCCTCACAGCAGTGTGGTTATGGGTAGTAATGCATTGAGACAAAATGCAGGTAGGACATGAAAGAAATGGCATTTTATCATGAAGTGATAGGATGTTTGAATGATGCTGTTGCAAGGAGGCCTGGCTATTAACACTATGCGGGCACCTGGCCTGCTCCTATTGAAAGGTACTCAATACAAATCAGCACCCTCAAGGAGAAGAGGGCATTTGTGGGTCTGAAAACATCAACAGACACTGCAGCTGAGCCAGAAACCCAGCTTTCAACTACGTCACTTGCTCCTATAATTAGAAATAAACAACCAAAGCAAAAGTAATCTTACTTGATCAGGAATGAAGAAGTTTCTAGGAGGGAACAGGAGAGGGAATCAGAAGGATCAGCCCTTTCTGCAGTAGAACAGTTACAAGAAGAGGAGGAGGAAGGGACTGAAATAGTAAATGAGAAAGTAGCCACCTGATTCCTAACCCTAAACAATTTGTGAGATAGCAAAAACCTTTTTTTTCAGTTTCCTGCAAAATGTCTAGTAAAATCTTGTCCAGGTAGTGATTGCTTTATGAACTGTTTTACTTGTCTGTGCTACAAGGGGTCTTGGACTGGCAACCATTATTCTTTCTTCCAGCACAGACTAAAATTAATTTTATATTTTAAAGGAATTTCCAGTTAAAAATGTTTTCTTTACTTACATATACTCAGAATTGTTTTTTATTTTTAAATCTAGGGAACATGAATGGTTTAAGCAGGATCTTCCAAAATACTTGTTTCCTGAAGATCCATCATATAGCTCTACCATGATTGATGATGAAGCCTTAAAAGAAGTGTGTGAGAAATTTGAATGCACTGAAGAGGAAGTGCTAAGTTGTCTGTACAGCCGAAATCATCAGGACCCTCTAGCTGTTGCTTATCACCTCATTATAGATAACAGAAGAATAATGAACGAGGCCAAAGACTTCTACTTGGCAACAAGTCCACCAGATTCTTTTCTGGATGATCACCACCTGTCTCGTCCTCACCCTGAACGAGTGCCATTTTTAGTAGCTGAAGCACCGCGTCCTCGCCACACCCTTGATGAGCTGAATCCACAGAAGTCAAAACACCAAGGTGTCAGACGGGCTAAATGGCACTTGGGAATCCGCAGTCAGAGTCGACCAAATGATATCATGGCTGAAGTTTGTCGAGCAATTAAACAACTGGATTATGAATGGAAGGTAACAAAATAGAAGACCTTTACAGCAAACAACAATTCATTTTGGTTTGAGCTGTGTAGTTACATAGCCGAGATGTCTGAAACTGTTTTCATGTTCTGGCACTAATCTCATGTGCCTGTCCTGTGCCAGAAGGGTTTTGGGGGGAGACTGTACAGGCTGATAGGAAAAAAAAGTCGTGCTAAAGTTTTCTCTTAGGGCTGTAGGAATGTATTTCTCTTGACTAAACTACCTCACCCCTTCCAACAACCCTCAAATCCAACAGGTAATGAAATCTGAAATCACTTTATAAATACTAGTGATTGAAAGGATAAAAACACCACAGTGTTTTTCAAGCATTCTGGTTAACTGACTCAAATCTCTTTCATACTAGGTTGTGAATCCATATTATCTGCGTGTTCGGAGAAAGAATCCAGTAACAAGTGCATATTCCAAAATGAGTCTCCAGTTGTATCAGGTGGACAGCAGAACTTACTTACTGGATTTCCGTAGTATTGATGGTATGTGAAGAGTTAATTAATTGACTGAAGTTAATTGACTTGTGTGGGAAATCATTCTACTTGTAAACATGTCTTTATTTACTTATTTAGAAGTGAAGTAAGTGTTGCCCTTTTTTATTTTTAACTAATCTAACCTGTATTAGTGTTTCCTTATTCCTTCCTGGACTAGTGTTCCTGTGATATATGCTTAGCTGCTGCATCCCTTAAATAATTGTGTTTTTGCTATATCAGCTTCTGAGAAGCTCCATTTTGTGTCTGCATCAGAACTAATACCAGTAGTGCAAAAGGAGACGGGACTGTTGGAGGTGAGATTGGGACCAACTTAAGCTACCTTTGGAGTCTCACCCCAAATTTAAACATTAATTTAGATCTGAAGTAAGCATGTGAACAGTATTTTCTAGCAAAGATGAAGCATGACATCTAGGCATTTAAAATTGACTTGGACTGTACCTTGCTGTACTGGGTCTGACTGAGAGTTAATTTTCTTCCTAGCAGCCTACATGGTGCTGTTTTGGATCTGTGACTAAAACAGTATTGATAATACATGACTGTTGCTGAGCAGCACTGGCATAGTATCCAGCCTCTCTTTTTCCACACTGCCATGTTGAGAGGGGAGCAACAGCTCTGCAGAGCTGAGCCAGATTGAACAAAGGGACGTTCAATGCCATATTATGCCTAGCTGAAAACAAGGTTTTGGGGAAGGTAACCTTGAGACCAGCTGGGCATCAGTCTGCTTTGGAGATAGCAAGTGGTTGCCTTTGCATCACTTCCCCCTCCCTTACTTAAAACTGTTTATTTCTACAGTTTTCTCACTTTTTGAGAAAACTCAAAGAGTTTTCTCACTTTTGCCCTTAAAGTTTTCTTTCCCTTTGCACTGACACATCAGCAGCAAGGCAAAGTTAACCAACCAGTTCTACTAGAAGCTAAAATTTGAGGTAGGAATTTTATGCTTGCAGGAGCTAGAATCTTGAAAGCATAGTTTAACCTGTAGAAAAATATATTTTATGGAGTGACAGTAACACAGTATATAGAGCCTGATGAAGTGACCAGAGGAGCTAATAGAGACTGAACACAATGTTTGTTTATGGCCATAGCAGACTAAAGAAAAATTACCTATAGCCAGTAGTGTAGATGACATGCCTAGGAAAACATTGCATAGAAAAAAGGATTTTTTTTTTTTTTGACTGCTTAGAGCCGTGCAGCTGAGGGAGGGAGTCTGCTGTAACCCTGGTTTCCACTTTTGAGGAAATGCAGCTCAAGGGCACGAATTTGCTGTATCTCTTCCAGTAGTTAAACTGATTTGACATTCCTTTACTCCACCATGGTTAACTGTTCTCTGTTCCTCTTAACAATTTGTGAATTAAAGTACCTTTGTGTAAGCAAGAGAGATTGCCTTTTCACTTGTTTCTCCTGAAATAATTTTTCAGGAGCCAGCTTAGAACCAAGTTAATGTTCAGTGCTTAAAATAAGAATAGAAATGCTTCAGCAGAACACTACTATTAAGATGAAACTATTTTCTCCTCATACTGAAGGTAAACAATCACTGCAGCCCAAACATACAACATTCTATGGTGAAAAACTTTCAAAAGAGAAGAATTAATGAATGCAAATGCTAACAAGTATAATATGCTAATGAATTATCATAAAATACAGATAATATGTAAATACCCAAAAGAGAATAAAAATAGAATAAAAATAGAGTAGATGATTAAAAAAATCGAAAAACTGCTACTAACTGAATCTTATGATGCTGACCTGGTTTTGTTTTGAGTAACCTAAATTGAACAATTAGCTGCTGAAATCAGTTCATGAAAAATACAATTAGTATTGGTCTGAAGTAGATGTAAATAGTTCTGCAGTACAGTTCAGAGAACAGGACGAATTAGCATTAGAACATTTGCTGTTGTGCTACTATGTATACAAGAGTTCATTTTGCATGATATGCAGTTTGCAAAAGCTGTTTCTTTATTAATCAAGATTTTAAAAGACAAGATTTGGAAGTGTGAGAAGGGGAAGATATTTGCTCTTCCTAGAACTGATTTGATAATGATACCAAATTTTCCTCTTTTCTTCCCTTGTTCCCAGATGAGATTACTGAAGCGAAGTCTGGGACTGCAACTCCACAGAGATCAGGTTCTGTGAGCAACTATAGATCTTGTCAAAAAGATTCAGATGCTGATGCTCAAGGAAAATCTGCAGATACATCCCTTACCTCATCAGTGAACTCTTCGCTTGACTCTTCCACAGCTGATGTAACTCCAAGACCAGGGAGTCATACAATAGAGTTTTTTGAGATGTGTGCAAATCTTATTAAACTACTTGCACAGTAATTTTGAAGATGGGCTTATTTCTTTTACAGCAATAAGCATGCCTAAATCATAGTCAGATGCTTCCAATTATAATCAAGTGAAATTAACTAAGGCGCTGAAAAAGCTAGCCACAGAATGCAATTTTCACGGGGATAAAAATTATTATGGGCAGTTAACATATATTATTTCGAAGCTAGAGTGAATTCTGATTGCCTGCTGTCCAATAGCATAACACAGGTACAGGAAATAACATGCTCTTTGGGTAGTGTTTGTAACATTTTACCTTGAGTGCAAAATAGGCTGCCTATAATATTTAAGCTAGATGGACCTCCTTGTTTTTTTCTCTGGTTATACATATATCCGATGCACTGTAAGTTAACATACACATACTGTTTCAGTGATCTCAGTGTGACTTGTTGGTCACCCTCTACAGTTGTGACTGAGAATGATCAGCATCTCCTAACAGTAATGTGTTAAAACTGCTATGTTTCTTCCCCTCTATTTGACAAAAAATAATAAAAAATGCTTTGATGCGTTACAATGTACTACTTTTATCAAAGTGTTACTAAATGCATGCAAATCCAGACAGTTGGAAATGCTTGTTGGTGCTCTGTAGTGAACCGAGGGTAGTAGAACGATTGAGTCCTAACAGTGGCAGGAGACAATGCTGAGAAGGCGTGGCATCCCATGGGCTGAACGAAAAGGTTGCTTTGAGGAGGAACTGAGGAAGCTCCTGGTCTGAGCATGTTATCTTAGTGTGGTGGCTCCCCACTGCTACTGCAGGCCGAGAATCCTTTTCCTTAGAAACATTCCCCATAGTTAAGAGCAGAGCCTGAGGGCTGTTTCATGCTGTTCCAGAATCTGAAATTGACAGATTTTTAACATCGATGTTAATACTTTGATACAGTTGATTACCCTGTTAATTTAGGCTATGCTATATAGTATTCAGTTTGAAGTGAAAACTACATACACAGGTTTCTAGTTTTTCCCAGGTGACCATTATTAGAAAACTTTGCTATTTAAAGTAACAGAATTAGAGTCTTATTGAAAACTGATCATGACTACTTGAGTACTAGAGTTTTAACAGTAGATTGCAGTTACCCATAGTAAAAATCCTTTTGAATTTATGTTTTTTTGCAGCATTTCAGGAAAAATCCTGAACTGCATATGTTAAAATCACAGGTAGTACTTGCATGAAAACCTTTAATCTCTTTATATTGGATATAATTAGCCATGGTTCCCTTTTCATCTGGCACTTAGACATAAACAGTCATAAAATACTTAGTTTTCCATTCAAGACTAAATACTCACTTCAAAATAATATTCATGACCTACACAATTTCAAAGGTTGCTCCCCCAGAAAGAGACTGGAACTCCAGGCATTACTACGAACAGTGGAACCTGGGCTCTTCACATGGATGGAAATTCTTGCCCATGATTGAGATTTTATCCATGGGAAGCTGTTAGCTACAGATACAAGAATAGTTTAAATCCTGGCCAGCTGGCTGCAGCCCAGAAGCTCACATACACAGAATCTGAAGAAACATAAGGCTGCTCTTAAAGCCCCTGAACTGTGTTCTGAACTGGGTGATTGTGAGATCTGTCTAATAGGTGGGTACAAGTTACAACTTCATTTCTTTATCCTCATGTCACAGATGGTCCCTGTAGGGACATTGGCTGTATCACTGTACCTTAAAGCGGAAGATTTTCCAAAGTGGAAGTTAGTATTGGAAGTTGAAATCCCAAACTTTTAAGATGCCAAGGTTGAGGGACCAGCTGCAGATCCTACAAAAAAGTCTGTCTTTAGTCTTGGAAGAATTAGGTTCCAATGTACAGAATAAATCAATGTGTTCATTTTTGTTATCCTTTATTTTGGAATTATTAAGTCTTGCGCTTGTATAAACACTACAAACGCACAGGTTTTTAAATTGTAGTAATTTCTCATCTGGAATTGGTTTGGGATCACTTGCATATATTAAACTTTATAAATGCTATCTCCTCCTTGTAATGCTTACAACACATGCAAGGTATAAAGATGCAAAATAGTTCTTAATTTTATATATCTTTTCGGCCCTCTTGTGCTTTAAAGACAACCCTGGTTTGTTCTTAGTTGTGTTATCAGGAAGTTAAAGCAAATTTCTGGCAGAAGTGTACAATATATGTAGTTGTAAATAAAAGTACATTTTTATGGTAGATCAATTTTGATGGCCAAAGGTTTTCTGATTGAATTGAGATTTTTTTAGGGAGGGGGAGGGGTAGAAAGGGGCACTAACAACAGAGTTTAACCCAGTTGCCTGTTGTGTGACTTTCCTATGCTTTTGTGACTTTCCTATCTTGCTGTTGAAATTGCTTTCTTCACACGTTCCTACTGATCTTGCAGACCTTTAGCATTGCACCAGGAGCTGCCAATAGGCGTGAATTGAAACTTCACTAAGAGAGCTGCCAGAGTTGTAAGGCAGTTTATGCAGATACACAAACTGGTAAAGTGTGTTACTCGGTATTACCAACATTACTCCTGTTGAGTACGAGTTACCTTGTCTTTGTATTGTAATTTTTTCAGTAACATGGATGAACCTGGCCTGTCCATGTGCAATATAACTCACTAGGTAATGGATTAAAATTCATCTTGTTGGTGCAATATGAGGAAAGAAAACCTTTCATGTTTGTCTTAAGTGTTTAATACAAACTTGGAGCTAAATTTTATTTTACCAGTTGATTACCATTGTAAGATATGAAGTCTTGTTCTTTAACAAAGATGTGCCTACTTCCTGTTAATTTCTTTTGACAAAGCTGAACGGCAAAAATGCTTGTTTCTAACTGTACAACTTTTTAAACTTTCAAAACTAAAAACTAAGTAAACATGAAATACTGAACCATCTTGTTTGAAACTGTGTGCTTGCTGTTTTCTAGTGCTATGTATAAGTGGACAAGAACTGTTACACTCGTTTTAAAACCAGCAGCTATTACTATTATAGCAAAAGCAGCAACGTGACAAAAATTAGAGCGGATTTCCCAGCTGGACAGGCTGGTGCACCAGCTATACTCTCCTGATCCGGCTGACTCTTTTCCCCTCGATCTCGTAAACATTTTTGCTGCAGAAAAGGAATTTGAGACGACACAAAGTCTGACCACAGCTTTCACCACTGTGGTGACACGTCTCGTCTCGCATCTTCACTCAGCCTTCCCCTCGCACCACGGATGGGGCGGAATTTTCTCTCGGTATTGGTCCCTGAAAGTAGGGAGCACCTTTAAACCCTGCTGCCCTGCCGTTTTAAACCCCGTCTTCTCTTTTTGCTGAGGTTTTTTTTTTTTTTTTACTTGTTTGTTTTTGTTGTCTTTTTTTTTTTATTGGGGGGCAGAGGTTGAGGTACTTTTGTTTGGCTTTTTGTTGTTGATGTTTAATTCTTTTTTGGGGCGGGCGTTTTGAGGGGCTGGTGGTGATTTTTTTAAATTTTTTTGAATGGTTTTGTTGCTTGGGTCTTGTTTGTTTGTTTTGTTTTTTTTTTTTTTTTTTTTNTTTTAATATTAAGAACACAGTTTTTGGTAAATGTTGACAGGAGCTGGAACACAAGCCACAATAACAGGAATGAGGTTTGGTAGATGGATTTCATGTGAAACAACAAAACTTGTTAAGTCATAATTATGAAGCTATTTGTTTTTGTTTTGTTTTTTTTTTTTTGTATTGTGGTGGTGGTTTTGAATCATTAAAAAAAGCCGGTATAATCACGGACAAAGACCCTCTAACTAATTAAAGTTACAAAGTGGTGTGTTTATTCACCGGCACAGGAGTCACCTCCCAAAGGCGTGACCGCCCCGAACAAGGTTCTTTGCCATCTATTTATTCCCCAAGATCTTACATACAATACATGTGCATAACCCCAGCACCTCCCATCCCCATCCCATATTAAAATGAGCCCATTCGTCCTTCACACGTGCGCAGCTCTCCTCTTGAATTGGGTCGGTGTTCTCGAAATGGGTCAGTGGTCTCGAAGGATGAAGTCAGGAGAGTCTTCATCAGGTCTCAGTGACCCTCTGGCACGATCCAAGGCTCCGTGCTTCATGGTTAGCAGCTTACTTATTTTACGTTCTTCTGTACGTAAATTTATAATAGCAGATAATGATACCAATTAGCTCTAGCCTAAGCATCTAATAATTATTAACCTACCATTTACCTACCTAACTTACATCTTGGTCATGGAAACTACTTCTACTCTTAGCAAAAATCTTAACTTTTTAAAACCATGATTCAGCTTAGTCCCGTTCAGAGGAATACCCATCCTTGTGAGCCTGGGTCACTTCTCCCTGCGGGACTCCCCGGGCGGAGCCGCCTCCCCGTGGCGGGCGCTGCTGTCCCAGGGCGCAGTCCGTACACGGCGGGCACTGCCCTGTCCCTGTGTGACACTCGAGCACCTCGGCCGGTGGCACTGCCAGGCCCGGCTGCTCTGTGCCCTCCGGCCCCGCTCCGGCGCTCCCTCAGTCCCCCAGGAGCGGGGGGCCCGCCGGGCGCCTCACGGCACGCAAGCGGCCGGCGAACTGCGGCTCCAGGGAGCGCCGCCGGGCGTCGGGCACCGCCACCCCAGCTCCTTCCTGCTGCCGCCCGGTTCCTGCGCTGCCGCCCCGCCTTTCCGCTTCCTGCAGCGGCCCGGGGCTGGCTTGGCGCTTGCAGCCGGGAGAGGCGGCGGGCGGCGGCGGCAGGTACCGCCGGGCATCGGGGCCGAGCGTGCCTCAGGGACTGCCCGGGTGCAGCCGGTCAGATACACTTCGTGTGGGGGAGCGCCGCTCTGTATTACTGTTCGAGCGAGGTGCGATTTTCCTGCTGTGTTCTTAAATATAAATTACCTAACGACTTAAAATGCATTCTTCCTAGTTCCCCAGATGGCTTCGTTTGGGTGGAAGAGAAAGATCGGTGAGAAGGTCTCAAAAGCTACTTCTCAGCAGTTCGAAGCAGAAGCTGCGGATGACAGGGATCTGGGTGACGATGATGATGCTAACTGGGTGCATGCAGCTAAGAGAAGAAAGGAAGTTCTCTTAGAAGATTGTGTAAGGAGAAGTAAGGAGCTCAAGGATGAAGGTGCAAATTTGGCTGAAAATAGGAGGTACTAATGTTGTTTTATTCTTTTTTCATTGACTGAAAAGCTGCTGCATGATATTTTAATCCCTTCTCTAAACACTAGTAATTTGCTAGTAGCTGCGTTGGTAGTTTTCGTAATTTGAAAAGTGGTAATTTCTTTCATTCTGCCTTTACTGTCTGGTACTAAATAAGTTCTTGCCTTTGGTGGTGCTGTCACCTGTGAAACGAAGTGTATATTCCATGGTGTCTTTGCCTATTCTCATAACAGCAACAAAGAGTACAGTAGTCAAGACATGAAAAATTACCTGGATTTGAAAACTGAAAGGGTAATTAGGATGCAAGGTGATAAGCCATAGCATAAGTAATGCTTTAGCCACTCTTGAAAATGTGTCTTTTTTTCCTTACCGAGAGTAAGCCTGTTTCCCTGCGCACAGTGCCCTGGGGAATCCTGCCAAGCAGCTGATGCGCTGTGAATCTGCCTAGAGCTTTGTTAGGTCAGGTCCAGGGAGCTGCTCCGACTGCCTCCTGAGTACTGGGAGTTTGGCAGTTCCGGAAGAATGCTAAAAAGTGGTTCCGTTGTCTTGTTGTGCTTCAGGCAGGAAGTCCTTTCGGAGTACAGGTGTGTTAGAAGAGCAAGAGGTGGACTATAAATCGGGTATTAACTACATAATTTGGCCAGACCTCCACTGGAGGGGGAAGAAACAGTTCTGAGAATGGTCCCCCTAAAATCTTCAGAATTCTTTGACCTAGGAGTTTTTATCCTTTCTTTACTTTTGGGAGCATCTTTGCTTTGTTGTCCCAGATCAGAGATGATATTTTCCTTGTAGAAGTATTGCCAAGATGTCAGTAGGTGCTCCTGTGCTGTTAAACTTTTTGTCTTAAGAAATGTCATGCCGAAAAAGGGCTCTCTGGGCGACGTGGAAGAGAGAACACTTGGAGGTTTAAAGCAGGCAAGTTTATATATCATAATAAACAGTCTGTGTGTATTGTTGGGTCTGATTTAAAAAAAAAAAAGGTAATGAATAAACACAAAATTTCTTTGAGAAAAGGCCTATTTTCAAATATTTAAATTGAGTTTCCAACTGGTCACTCAAATAGTGACACTGTTCAGTGAGTGACTTCAGTTGATTCTTTTGTGTTCCTGAGGCCTGTAATTTTTGAAAAAAAATTTGAAGCCTTTCAAAGTTGAGTTTAAATTAAGAACAAGTTAAACTTAATAAGTTTTAAGTATCCTGCCATTGTATTAATCAATAGATTTAATGCAGTAGTTGCGTAAGTAGGTTACATTAATATTAATAGTTGAAAACACAGAATGTACAAATTAATAGTCAATTAACATATCAGTTTTTATCACCTGAAGTAAATCATAGCTCGATGTACAGAAAGGTAAATCCATTCTGTCCTTTTAGGAATACTGAGATTGCTAAATATTTTTAATAATCTTGTATCAGTAATATATCCTTACCTATATTAAACAGATTGATTTTTTTAATTTCTGTCTTCTGTTATACTTGTGCCTCCCTTGTATTTTGCTTTGGATGTTGTTGGATTGCTTTGGATATCTTTTCTCTTATGTTCTTTTTTGATTTTTCGGTATATTTTTTGACGTGCAGTAAGTCTTTTGAACAGTGGCAAATATTTTGTTGTAGATGGGGTTTAGGGTAGGGACATACTGAACAGCAGGTAATTTTTGATGCTTTTAATATCTTCACTTGGTCTTTGAAGCTGAGTTCTCCATTACCTTTTGGTTAAGAAACAAGACAAAAGCTTCACCCATCCATAGCAATGTAAGCATTTTTTGTGAACGTAGGGAGAACTATCTCTCATCAGAGGTGCTTGTAAGAACTGCTGAGAAACTCTGAATGACTTACAACAGATGTGCTAAAGAAGTTAGCGTTCATATCTGAGGCTCAATAGAGGTTCTCACTTGAACTTAAAGTTTCCATCAGTTACTCCAGCACACTCTCCAGGTCAGGAAGTGATGGTGATATGGTGCTGTTGGGGTACATAACTTTCAGACAGATTTTTATCTTAAAAAAAACCCAATCACATAGATTTTACTCTGGCAGAAAGTGGTTGCTGTAATTGTATTCAGGCCTGTGTGGTCTGTTTCTTGAATTTGTACAGCATAAGCAGATTCCTGCAAATTATTAAAATACTTAAGGTGGATTGTTTCCTGAATTATCAAAGTGTGGTAACAGTTAAAAAAAAGTCTGAGTTGGATTGTGTAGCATTCTAGAACAAAAGCAAAGACATAGCACTAGAAAGTAACAAAGGTTGGTTCTTGGTTTGTGTTACTTGTGGAGTAAAGGAGATCTAAAAGAAAAACTCATGAAGAAGCAAGAGGGCTAAATAAAAGAAATAATGGAAAGTTATTAATTCAGCTTCATTTCTTAGGGTAGAGTGACTCTGAGCTAGCGTGCATGGCAGAAATGAATATGATGAATTTTATAAGCAGGCCCACTGTTGCTTAGCTAAAATTGTCATTACCACATTTATGCTTTATTAGTCTGCTCAGCATGTTTTTCTCTTAAGATGAGGCAGTGATGGTGTTAGAAGCCCCACCGTGGTTTTGTTAGTCTCTGTCTACTCCATACGTCTGTTTGTGTGGATGAGTGAGATCTCACTGTCTGGTGTTTGTTAGGTCGGGTCTCAGTGCTTCTCTGGGGGAGGGAATAAGGAATGAGCTTCTCAGGCACCAGAATTTGTGCAGCTTGTTATTTGCTGATTGTCAAAGTTGCAGGGGACATGGGGGGATTGTTTGGGAGGTGGTGGCCCTCTGTGGGTTTTCAGCTATCATGGAACTGTTTGAGGAGTATTTGTATCTGCTGCAATGTGTGTGCATGAACCTGATAAGCTGAGACAGACACACAGAAGAAAAACAGTGATGAAGATGACAGTTTCTGGTCCATATTTTGCATTTTTTTTGTGGAATGGGAAGAAGAATTAGGAGTCTACCAGAAAAAGGTGTTAAACTAAGTTGATCATCACATTGGGTGGTTACTGTGAAAAACACTGTTGACAAGACTCTGACCTAGAAATTTCATAAGTAGGCAGTGTTGAAGATGGCTTGTAAATCAGTGATCCTGTCAGAACAGCAAGAAAAGCAGATGTGTGGAAGAAGTACCATATTTGTATGCTCTTTCGGTGTGTGAAAAGGAGCAGTGAAACGAGTATGTACAAACATACACACAATCTTTTGGGAAGGCACATGGTGCTGTTCTTCACGCTGTCATGTGCAGGGCAAGAAGGTGGCCTTTGATGATCCCTGTGGATTCCTTCCAGTCAGGGTATTCTGTGATTTCTGTGAACAGAATATTCTCTCTTGGTAGAAAGTAGGAGAGTATTTTTTTGCTTATAGGAAACTTAAAATACTGGTGTAATCCAAATATGATGTGTCTACATACACTGCAGTTGAAAAAAAAGGCAACTGAAAGCAAAACCAAAACCCAGCAACCCCAATCCAGTTTTTCTGTGTTGATAGTCCTACACTGTTTTAAACCCAGCATAAGTTCACATGTTCTACCTTAGTATTTTGAACACAGCCATTTGCCATTACAGTGTTATTTGACTGGGAGGGAGGTAAGCCTTTGGCTCTGGCCTCAGGGTTAAGAAATAGTTGAGGTGCAGGTAAACAGTGAAGCATGACGTCCTTAAATACATGGCATGTGAGAGCTAAAGGCAGGAAGAAAAACTTCTGCCAGACTTGTGTCCTCAATATAACTGAGTTGCCTGTCCATGCAGCAGCTCTGTAATCAGCCCTGTGCTGTTTTCAAGCCTCAGAGTTCTGCAGCTGCCCAGTGAGTGGCGATAGAGCTCTTCTCAACGTGCCCTGCAGAGATGCAGGACTTCTGTTGGAAGTAGATGCTGTCGGGTCTAAATTCTCAATGAATGCATTTGTTTCTTCAAAGTTTTGCCAAACACAAGTTAGTACCTCTTCTGCTTCTGATGATGTTTATTGCACTAAAAAAAGACTAAAAATTTCCGTCTTGATTGGGAAGGTCATGTTTTCAGCTGGGACACTCCTACATTAGAGGACCCCCTATATTAGAAGAAAATAAAATTCTTTCATTATATCACTTGATGTCCAGGTTAGATTGATTAATAATATTTTACTTTTTATTTCCCTTAGCTTTTGCAATAGCAAATTTTAAAAGTGCAGTGACTAGACTAGGTAACATGCCAATTTTAATGAAACTGTTTACTTTTCTAGAGGGATTAACTTTTTAGAATTGCTTAATTTTTGTAATCAGTTGAAAGGAACTGAACTTTTCTGAAGGGTAATTTTTTCCACATTTTAGCAGTTGAGACTTTTTTCTCTGATGTGAATGCCAGCATGACTCCCAGATGTGTAGTTCATGATTCTTTAGTTATATATGCTGTAACTGAGTTTGTTTTTCTCACTAGACATTGTAGGTTGTCAGATGATGAGGCACACACCTTTAAAAAGTATGCTTAGTGTTGTGGTAAGTCAGGTGTTTACTGAAAAAATATGTTTATCAGGTGGAGCAGATTTTAACAGTTATATTTATTCCATTTACCTATGTGTTTTAGATTTAGATTATGGTAAGTACTCGATTAAATATGAGTTATGAAAGCAATAAAATCGTTTTCAGATTACATTACTAATTCATTTTGGTGCAACTAAGATGGCAAAGGATAGACATGACTATGTTGAAATTGCTTTTCAAGTTTCAGTCAATAAAACTGATGTTACTTACATAATACAGTGTTAATAAAAAGGTTTCCCAGAAGATCCCAGCAGCTGTCTTTGGCAAAAACATTTCATCAAAACATTAGTTTAATCAGCTGAGTTATATTGTAGAGTAGCCTAGAAGAAATAGTGTGTGTTAGAAGAGACATCCAGGGAGAGCAGGTGGCACTTATTTCAAGTTTTCTTCCCTCAAGAGTAGTTCTTCCTGATGAAGAGCAAATCATAAAAAGCTGAATAAGAGCCCTGTGTGGATATATAGTAAGCTCCTGACAAAATCCAGACGTAAAATGGAGTTTTACAAGAGGTGAGAG